TTCCTTAAGTGTTTCGCGGCTTGCCTCGGGTTTTCCTTCTGTTTTCGATCGGAAATCGAGGTTTAACTTATGGGAAAAAAGGGGCCTCGTTCCTTATTTAGGGTTCCTGAGGTCAAGGCCCCGACTGTACATCCTATCCCTGGGGCCCGGGGCGGCCCCGGCCGGGGGGCCGAGCGTCCGTGCAGCCTGCCGCCCCAGAGAGGCCGCCGCCCGGTTCCCGCTGGTGCTGGACGAGACGGGGCTGCTGTCGCCGTCCACGGAGCGCTACATCGACGGCGCCCTCAAGCAGCTCCAGGCGGGCGGTGTCGACGTCGTCGTCGTCGTCGTCCTCCTCCTCCTCCTCCTCTTCCCCCTCCTCCTCCTCCTCCTCCTCCTCCTCCTCTCCTCCTTCTCCTCCTCCTCCTCCTCCCTCCTCCTCCTCCTCCTCCTCCTCCTCTCTCCTCCTCTCTGGGGGGGGCGGGGGCGGGGAGGGGGAGGATGAGCGAGACAGGGGGAGGAAGGCCGAGCGAGGAGGAGGGAGCAGGAGACGGAGCTGGAGGAGGAGGAAGGGGGGGGGAGGGGGAGGGGGAGGGGGAGGGGAAGGAGGAGGAGGAGGAGGAGGAGGAGGAGGAGGAGGAGGAGGAGGGGAAGACTCAGCAGGAAGTCACAATATGGACGGTACCCGTCAGGAGGACGGATTCTGTCTGATTCTCCAGGGGGTCGTTGTTTTTGTGTGGGGGCACTGGGAGGGGCGAAGGGGTCCACAGAGAGTGTCAGGGGCACCCCACCGAGTGCTCGATGCTGAGGGCAGGGCGGAGGTGTTTGCATATTTGCTTCTTCTCGGCCTTCCCACTGCCGGGGACGGCCAAAGAGCCCCGAGAGATCGCCCCAAGGGGCCTCCGGGATGGCCCCCAGAGCGGCCCAGGAGGCAGACGCCCAAGATCGGGGGTGGACAGAACCCCCAACAGTGACACGTCGATTAGTGAATTGTCCGTTTTCGGTTCTCGAGAGGGCGCCGTGGCCGTTATTTTCCAGGCCTGCGCCCGCCAGGTTTGGGCCTCAGGTCGTTTTCACTAAACCACGTTTTACTAAAGGAAGGTCTGTCCATCCCCGACAAGAGGGCCTCCAAGACGGCCCTGGACGAAGCAGAACCTGCCCCCCTCTGGCCGAGCGCCCGGGGGAGGACGGAGCACAGCACGACTGCTCGTCTCCCACGAGGCAGGCGTGGGGGGGGGGGGGGGAGGTCGTGGGCGAGAGCAGCAGCGAGGCGAGTCGGGGGTGCACTGCGAGCGCCTGCCAGCGGGGCTCTTGGCCGTTCTGAAGGCCTCTCGCCATCGGTCTGACGTGGTGGCCCCGCAGTCGGGCCCAATCGACTTCAATCAGGAGGGGAACAAGCACACAGACACCATTCACCGTCGATCCTCAGGAAAAGATGGCAAAATATGGGAAAATCCGGAACATACGAACAAACATTACAACAGAGAAAAAACCCAATCAGTGGATGGTTTTCGCTGAGGAGATCGACCAGGAACTCGGGAGCCCGGCAACCCAGAACCCACCGAAATCGGCCCGGAACCAATGACCGGGAACCCAGGAACTTGGAACCGGGAACCAGGGATCCCAGCCTGTTACTAGAATCGGCGGGGAACCTTCGCCAAGTCTTTCAACTTCCGCCAGGACCCCTTCGGTGCAAGCACGGATTGTTGAATGGAGGGGGTCCTGGGAACTGTGCCTAGTGTACCGTTTTTTATACATGCTCCGCGTGCGGATCATGTATTAAACATGCGGGGATTTAGTAGTAAAGACAACGATGAGTCCATGCATGAACTCATTCCTAAATTGATCAAGTATCAGAAATCTCATATTTTTGAAAAATCCCATGTGTTAAAAACTGCCCTGTTCTGATTTGCGTGTGTGTCCCAAGGCCCCCTTCGCTTCGAGCGAAGGCCTCTCCCAGGAGCCTCCTCCTCCCACGTCCTCGTCCCTCCTCGCTCGTGCTCCGCCTCCCTCGCGGGCCACCTCCTCAGAGGAGGGAGAGGAACACACAGACCCAAGGGATCGTCGACTCCCAGGAAAATATAGGCAAATATAGGAAGTGGGGGGAAGACAAACAATATGGGAAAATATAGGAAGTGGGGGGAAGACAAAAATCCTACAACTCTGGTAAAAAACATAGGGAATCCTGTTGTTTTTTGTGCGTATTTATTGGTGTGTCCCAGGGCCCCTTCAATCTCGCGTCACGCGCCCCGCCTGCTTCCAGCGCGCCCCCCCTCGGCCTGCGCCTCTGGCAGCGCCGTTCCCCCCCTCTCTCCTCTCGAAGGGCAGCGCGGAGCGACGAGTGGCCGCGATGTGGAGGTGCTGCTCTTCTTCCCCGTTCCGTGCTCGTGGTCCCTCAGCATCAGGTGCTCACTGGCCGCTCCCACCCTCGCGCGCCCTGCCAAGACCTCCGGCGTCGTGACGTTCTCAGACCAGGCCGCTGGCGGAAAGAGCCAGTTCCGCACAGGAAGAGCTGGTGCCTTTGATTCGCGATGTGGCTGTGCCACCCGCTGTGTCGCGCATGGACAAGCAGTCGTCAGGGGAAGAGCTTCCTTGACGAGGGTTGGTCGAAGGGGTTGGCGGGAGGTCTGGGTGGGGTTTGGCGGGGGGCTGACGGCCGGTTGCGGCAGTTCTTCGAGAAGCAGTTCTGTCCGTCATCATATCATGACTGTGTGTTGTTGTCCCCATCCCCCTGGACGTGACTGTTTGGATGTCTCGATCTCGATCTCCCAGCTCGGCCGAGAGCAGACTCGCCGAAAGCAAGCAGCTACTCCAAGTGCCTTCCTGCTTCTGCAGTCGATGGTTCCTGCTCTGACCGTGCATGGCATGTGCGGGCCGATACACCATCCACTTTAACCGCTCGTATCGGGGCGCACGTGACGGGGGTCAGCGCTGCCTGGGGTCAGCCAGTCCCCTGCGATCTCTCCTGGCTCTCCCGAGCTTGGGAGCCGTGCGGAGCTGATCCGCCCTCACCTCCCTTCGCTGACCCAGGATTGGGAGATACCACGCGGCCCGCAGGGGTTAACTACGTCATGGTCATGGCTGACCCGTCAGCTGGTGCGCAGCCCACTCCGACTACCACCCCGAGCTCGTTCAGGAAGCCGTAGCGAGAGGCAACCGGCTACTGCGTGCGGCCGGAGGCGTCGTAGAGGCACCGCGCGTGCTCGAGGCCGTCGGGGAGTAGTGCCACGGCAACCCACCGGATGGAGTCTTGAGCTGCCTTAGCGCTGACACAGATTAGCGTGTTCCTGATTTTCCAGTTCATGCTTCTACCGCCGACTTCCTCCGAGCAGCCTGTGCTGTACAGGGTCTCTGGGGTTTCGCATCCCTTGCCCAAGGTGTTCTTTGGATCCTGTAGCCTTCTCCGACGTCCTTGGGCCTGGAAGCGGTAAACCTCTGACCGACCACAGATGTTAGCGGCTTCTGCTCGTGATCAACCCCTGGACAAGGCCACGGGTGCGCCTTTGGCCAGAGTTTCGGGGCTCATCCAGCCGTGGCCATGGGCGATCATCTAATTACCCCCGAGCCAGTCCGATGCTGCGTTCCGACTAGCCCCTCGGAGCGGATCCAGCCGTAGCCGTGAGGGCGCCCCAGGAGGCCTTATGATTAGTAAGCATAGTAAGCACAGGCATGACATAATTTCGACCCTCCAAACATGGCGGAAGAGCCCCGCCCAGATCTTCTTGAGCGGGACGTCGGCGGGCTTGGTAGGCGGCGCGACGAAGGGGGCGGCGGGGACGTGAGGTGGCCGTCCAAGAGGGCACGTGGATCCCAGAGACCCTCCTGCCTATCGAGCGGCACTCTCCCAGGAGGCCTCGTGCCTTCCCAGAATGCAACCCTTGGCCTACCATTACGTCGGGCATGCCCCTCTACAGGAGGAATGTGCAAGAACAGTCGAACATTAGTCGGGCCGCGACTTCCCTACTACATTCTGCTACTTTGTGCAGTATGTGGTTGCTTCTTTCCTTAGCTCATCCAAACTCTCCGCCTGTCGGATGACACGCCTGACCTGAGCCTGGCCTGCCATCCTCGGGTGTTGCCGACGGTGCCTCTGGCCCCAGGAGGTCCCCAGGCTCTCCGGGGTCGGAGGCCCGCGCGGCCTCCATTACAACCCCCTCGCGAGGCCCTAAAGGCCCGGGGGGCTCCAACATATTTTTGGCTTCGCTCGCACGTGTGTATTTTTCCTTCGGCGGGGACCATCGAGGAGCATCCTTGATCATTTGGCGAAAAAACCACGCACGAAACCGAAAAAAACACAGGGAGTGGACGTCCGAGCGATGGCCAGTATTGCGATAAGCTGGGGGCACAGCGGGCCAGGAGCACCTACGGCACTACTGGCAACCTCGACGCCGGAAGACTGAAGGAAACGCTGCGCAAACATACAAACTTTCGGAGGTCCGCGCGGCCTTCTCGGATCGGCACTATAGACCCCCCTTCCCTGGCGCGCGCAGCGCGTCAGGGGCTGCGCCGGAGGCCGAAGGTGGCCTAAGAAATCGGCGCGGACCTCCGAAACCGTGTGTCCAGGCCAGCTGCTGTCCTCACCAGCCTGGAACATGTCCCTATCCCCATGCTGGGCACCTCCTCATCACGATGCCAATCTTAGGGGTTCCCTTAGTTTTTTGAGGGCGAATCCCCAAGATTGTCATCGCCTTCTGGCGTGTCAGTCTTAGGGATAGGGATACGCTCGAGGCTGGCAATGTTCCTCCAGGCGCCCCCCTCCTGCGCGCCGGCTGCCTCGGCCTCGCCGGGGTCGTCGTGGCTGCCCGACCGCCGCTCGAGCAGAGCAAACTCACCATAGGCATTCTGTACAGTGGAGGCCCATGCCAAGAAACACCCTGCTTGCCTCCAGGGTGCCCTGGGTTTCCTGAGTTTCGATGGTTTTGCTGTGGAAAGCGTGACGTTCACACACCAAAAATCAATGGACGTCCTGGGGTCTCAGGGTTGGGTTTCTTGTGGCAGGATCTTGTGGTCGGGCCCCTACTGTAGCCGTTTTGGCCACAAGCCACTTCAGGTCACGCGCCCCACCTTCGCCGGCGCCATCGCCCCTGCATCTCTGCGCCCCCGCAGGCGCCTGGAGACCGTTTTTTGATCCCCCGACGGGCGTGACCGGGTGGGGGATGGGGGGGCCGGTCGCGTCGCGATCCGCGCCGGCGCCGTTCTCGGGAGTTCCCAAGGACCTGGCCAAGTCCCAGGCGGCGCTTGCGTGAGTCGTCGGATGACCAGGGCGAGGGGGGAGTAGTGTGAGGGGGGGGGCCGTGCGGGCGGGTCACGGGCGTGATCGCGGGTCACGCGAAAACGGGCTCCCTGGCGCGGGCACCTCGGCAGCCCTCGGAGGACGCGCCATGGGGGGGCCGATGCGCTAGGGGGGCGGGGGGGGCAGCGAGGGCCGCCGGCAAGGGGCCCCTTCGGGCCCAGACGGGGGGCCTTCGGGGCCCGAGAAGGGCGCCTTCCCCCCGGCGTCGCCATTTTTTCGCAGCGTCGACCCCCAGAGGTCTGGACCCCTTCCCCGGGAACGGCTTTTCATCCCGAGTCGTTTTCTGACGGCCCCGAGGCCCGGGAAGGGCCCCCGGAGGCCGAAAATAGCGAAAGACCCTCCGTCGCGATCTTCTCGCAGCGCGAGGAGGTTTGGGCTTCTCCCCCCCCAGTGTGCCGCCCCCCCCACGGAATTCGCGCCCGAAGCCCGCAATGGCCGCCTCGCGCACGGCCCGCCTCTCCCTGCACGTGCGGCCGGGGGCGCGCGGCGAGGGGGCGTGCGGGGCCTGCAACACGCCGCGGCGCCGGGAGGCGGGCGGCCGCTGGGAGCTGCTGGAGGCTCCCTGCAGCCCAAGTCAGGCATGATCGCGGCTTAAAAAAATCCGGGCGGGCGGTTTGGGGCTCTTTTCGGGCCCGGGGGGGCCTCGCCGGGCCTCGGGGCCGTCCAAAAACGACTCAGGACGAAAAAGCGGTGCCGGGGAAAGGGTCGGGACTTCGAGGGACGCCGTCCTGAAAAGATCAGGACGTCGCAGACGGCGACGACGACGACGACGATCGACGACGACGACCACGACGACGACGGCGGCGACGACGACGACGCGAGGAGGAGAAGCCTGGGCCTCCCAAGGGAGGCGCGCGTTCTCCGGGAGGGGGCCCCGCCGGCGGGGCCTGCTGGAGGAGTGGCCGGCGCTTCCTCGGCGGGAGGGTCGGCGGGAGGCCGGCGGCAGCCGAGCGGGGGCAGTTCTGCGGGCAATGGTTGCATCCATAACCAGTGCGGCTTGGAGTCTTAAGGGCTCTCCTCCCCAGAAACCATAGACGCACTGGATATGGGTAAGAATCAATCGCCCCAAGAGGCTTGATTCAATCCACATCCAGTGCGCCTCGGCGTTGCGGCACCTCTTCCCGAAAAGTCCAAGACGCTCTGGAGATGGATATAAGTACTGCCCGCAAGTTCCGCCAGCGGAAGCTGCCGGAATCTCGGGCCGGACGAAAGGGGGGGGATTGGGAAAGGGGGGTTACGAAATTTGCTGCATGCAGCTGGTTTCGGCCTCACTGAGGGGCCCATGTCTCGATACATCGCCGCCTCTGGCGGCGGGAGGCGCCGGGAAAATCAGCTACGTGAGCTGATTCTCAAACCCCCCCCTTTGCTATCCCCCCCTTTCGCCCGACCCGAGAATCGATGACACGTACTCGCAGAAGACCAAGCGGCATCAGCATAAGTTGTCGGCGGGTTTCTGGGAGCCGCGCTGGCGACCCCCTGGCGCTGCCCCTGGCGCGCTCCGCGCGCCAGGGGGGGAGGTCCAGCGCAGATCCGAGAAATCCGCGCAGATCTCCAACAGTTGATGTTTATGCCGGTATGTCTTCTTCTATGGAAGGGTGACCCCTCGCCGGAGTGACCTTTGGTGCAGGCTCATCGGTGTCCTCGCGATCGGTGAGCGCGATGCGATAGCAGCTGCTTGCGCACTTGGAGTTGGCCACCTTGCGCCCCGTTTGGGCGCGCACCCAGGGGCACTCTTGCCCAGGGTCACCACTGCGTGTAGGCGACGGAAGGCCGGCGGAAATCAGAATCAAGCAGTGGCGGAGCGCCCTGGCGTGCCTATTGGCCCACTCAAGAATGTTCTAAGTACCTTTTGTGCCTTGCGCGACACTATCTGATAATACATATATATATATATATGTATATCTATGTAGAGATTGCTTGAGCCGTCTTGGTTTAATTCATCGGGTTAGTGCTCTAAGAGCATTGTATTTGTTCTTAGTTCTTAGAACGTGCTGGCGTTCTGAAAACATCATGTACGCCCACGAAGGATTGTCCGCCCGTTCAGGTTTGCCCGCCTGTGTAAGCCCGCCGCCCCCCCGCAAAGAGAAAGAATCCCCCCAAGGGGGGTGTGATCGAACACAAATATGGCGGGTATCGAGGGGGTGGGGAATTCGTTTTTAATGACACACGGACAAGTAAGAGCAAACCGTCTTAGAATGATTGTATAATGTAAATTACTAAACAATTGTTATTGTTGGACACCTTAAAGGTGCTCCGGCGCTCTCGCCGAGGCGCCGGCTACATTTTCATTGAAAATGAGGCTCACGCTCGAGCGGCTTGGGGGACCGCCAAAACCGGCGCCCCAACAAGAAGAAGAAGAAGAAGAAGAAGAAGAAGAAGAAGAACAACAACAACAACAACGCTCCCGCTCGAGACTTCCGCCTTTTTTGCTCAGGGCTGTTGTTCTTGCTCGCTGCCGAGAGCCGCCGTCCTAACAAAACCAGCGCTCACGCTCGAGACTTCGTCCCGTTTTGCCTTGGACTGGCGCGCTAGTCTTTCTCTCATCGGCGCCGCCCCCAGCAAAAGCAACGCTCCCGCTCGAGGCACCCTCTCTTTTGTACTCAAGGCGGTGCTCCTCCTCGCCGCCGAAAGCCGCCGCCCCGACAAACCAGCGCTCCCGCCCGAGACGTCCTTCCGGTTTACGCTGACTGGCGCCTAACTCTCTTTTGAATTGGCGCCGCTCCCAGCCACAAGAACGCTCCCGCTGGAGGCGTCCTCCTTTTTTCCTGAAGACGGTGCTGTTCCTCGCCGCCGACAGCCGCCGTCCCGACAAACCACGGCTCCCGCTCGATGCTTCCTCCCTTCTTGTTCAAGGCGGTGTTCCTCCTCGCCGCCGAAAACTGCCGCCCCGACAAAACCAGCGCTCCCGCCCGAGACGTCCTCCCGTTTTACGCTGGACTGGCGCCCTACTCTCTTTTGAATTGGCGCCGCTCCCAGCAAGAACAACGCTCCCGCTCGAGATGTCCTTTCTTTTTCCTCGGGACGGTACTGTTCCTCGCCGCCGACAGCCCCCGTCCCGACAAAACCACGGCTCCCGCTCGATGTTTCCTCCTTTCTTACTCAAGGCGGTGTTCCTCCTCGCCGCCGAAAGCCGCTGTCCCAACGAAACCAGCGTTCCCGCTCGAGACTTCGTTTTGTTTCACGCTGGACTAGCACCCTACTCTCTTCAGCATTGGCGCCGCTCCCAACAACAACAGCAGCCCTGCTCGAGACTTTCTCCCTTTCTATTCAGGGCCAGGTCCTTGCCTCACCGCCGACATCTCCCATCGCCACCAAGGAAATCCTGTCGTTCGATACTTCCTTGTGCTTTACCCTTCGCTGGGGTTCCACTGGCGGTCTCGCATCGGCGCAGCAAGGCGCGGGCATGTGTTTTCGAGGCGGGATATGTTGAAATTCCTCGGAGGAGGTGTTTGCAAGACCTCATTGGGCGGGAGATCTGGGAATGGGAATAACGGACCCCACTATAGAACAAGAGTCCCCCATTACGTGGATGGTTATCATGATGGTCGCATGCTTCGTGTGGAAACATCGCGCATGAGGGTAAAATGATTGGTGTTGCTGCTGCTGCTGCTGCTGCTGTTGTTGTTGTTGTTGTTGTTGTTGTTGAACATTATTCCTTCTAAAGAATTATTATTGTTGGGACCCCTGGTGCGCGACCTCTGCGCCGCGCCTAGGCCGCAGCTACATTTTCATCATTTTTTCGCGAAGGCTTCAGAAAAGTGGATGAGCTCCGGATCCGGTTTTTTGTTGACGCTCGTTTTCCCTTGCAAAAAACAATAGAAAATGAAAATTCTTGTTTTTACTTGATCAAATTGCAAGAATCCCTTGCAAAAAATAAGGTAAAGTGGACATTCGTGCGCGCAAGACGAAATCCTTCCAAAACCTTAGGTTTCGTAACGATTTTAACATAAAAACATCAAAAACCCAATGGTTTTCTCAGAAAAAATTGTCAAAATGTCCTTCCGCGCGCTCTTGCGGATTCCTAGGAAACCCACCAGATTTTAAACATTTCTGTTAAAAGGGCCTTTGCGTGCTACTTCTTCAGGTGCTTTGAACTTCTCCAACAACGGTTGCGCGCCTGCGAGGGCCACCATCCCTTGCAAAAAATGAGACGAAGTGCACATGCGCGCGGCCGCCGCGCGCGCATGTCGAAATCCTGCCAAACACAATGGGTTTTCAATAATTTCAAGATGCGATGTTCAGAAAACATATGAAAACGCACTACTTTCTCATCCGAAAAATCTCGAAATCCATTCGCGGTCTCTTGATGAATCTTTAAAACCCAAGATGGCCCCAACAGGCGCGCAAGATGGCCCCAAGAGGCGTCCATGAGGCCCAAAGAGGCGCCCAAGATGGTCCCAAGAGGCTTCAAGAGGACTCCAAGAGGCCCCCAAGAGGTTCCAGAGAGGCTCTGTGGGTGTGTACCCCACGCCAGTGTAGTAGCCAGGGTCGTCCGCACGCCACGAAGTGAAGTGTCCCAACGTCATAGGGCGGGAAGCTGGGTGTGGGTGGTCTCGAAGAGTCGTTTGGATATTTGGTAGAGCTTGAACGGCCCCCCCACGAAGTGGGGGTATTGGCTGGTGTCGCAAGAAAACCCTGGCACTGGGGAGAACACTGAGCGTTCGGGTAAAATGATTGTTGTTGTTGTTGTTGTTGTTGTTGTTGTTGTTGTTGTTGTTGTTGTTGTTGTTGTTGTTGTTTGTTGTTTTTTGTTGTTGTTGTTGTTGTTGTTGTTGTTGTTGTTGTTGTTGTTGTTGTTGTTGTTGTTGTTGTTGTTGTTGTTGTTGTTGTTGTTGTTGTTTTTGGTATCACGCGATCGTGTCTTGATGGGCGCCTGTAGCACACGGCCTGCAGATGCGGTCCGTCAGACGAGTCGTAAGTCGGGCATGTCCCTCTACAGGAGAGAATTTCAAAAATAGTCAAAACAATGTGTGGGGGGGCGATTTTTTCCATATTTTTTGACCGTTTCGGGCTATTCGTTTACCATTTTTATTTTTCGTCCGAAATCCGCCTGTTGGAAGACATGCCCGACCTGAGACGAGTCAGAGGCTTCCGTATCGCCCGGAGGTGCCGCCGCCGCCGTGCCCTCACCCGGCTCCCCGGCCGCGCCACGTCGCGCCCGCTGCCTGCGCCTCGCCCGGCGGCTACAACTGGCAGGGCGTGCACGAGGATCGCCGTCGTCGTCGTCGCCGTCGCCGTCGCCGTCGTCGTCGTCCTCGTCGTCGTCGTCGCCGCCGACGCTGGTGAAGGTCTATGACAGCTGTTCTGAGGCTCTCGTCGACACGGCCAGGCGCGGAGTGAAGAGCTGCCGGAAGCGCGACGGCAGCGGGTCCGACGATGGAAGTTGGCGGAAAGGCTGCGGAAGGCAACGCAATCAAAAGTAAGACCTCCACATTTTCGCATCCAGGGTCGTTTTCCGATTCTGCCTCATGGCCGAAGGACCTGGAGCGGGGTCTCTATGCGGGCTCCTACGGGTGGGACAACGCCGCCTATTGGGCCATATCCGAGCACAAGGCGGGCATCGACCTGACCGAGTGGTACAAGACGCGCACGGACGCCGAGTTCTACCTGCCAGAGTTCAAGGACCTCGTCGACGACCCAGAGACGCAGAAGGACTGGGGCAACATCGCCACGTTTGACCCCATGGGCATGTATTCGCACCCACCGACCATAGCCGCGTGCCAGGCGCGGCTGGACATCACCGAGCTGAAGGATCTGCCAGTGGACGGCGAGGTGGTGCTTGACAGCAAGGAGATTGTGACCAACAAGTGTGCGGTATACTACGCGTGGAATTTGCCCTTCCTGTCCTCAAAGCTGGACATGGGCGAGCAGGATTTGCGAAACGCGCTCTACAAGTATTCCAAGGATGAGCGTCTGCTGGACCCCAAGGTGCGCACGTACATCCCGGCGGTGGGAGGTTGCACCATCTACACGTTCGGCGATGCCCGCAAGCTCCGCGATCCAAAGACCGAAGTCGTCGTGCGCGTCCACGACGAATGCATCGGATCCGATGTCTTCGGCAGCGATATCTGCAGCTGCCGGCCCTACCTCATTTTTGCGCTTCGCCAGGCCGTTGAGTGCGCCCAGCGCGGAGGTGTTGGCGTCGTGGTCTACTTCCGCAAGGAGGGGCGAAGTCTCGGAGAGGTTATCAAGTTCCGTGTGTACAATGCACGCATCAACCAGGATGGAGGAGACCGGTCCGACACGTACTTCCACCACACGGAGTCCATCGCGGGGATCCGCGACGCGCGCTTTCAGATCATGATGCCGGACGTGCTGAATTGGATGGGCATCCGCCGGATCGACTGGCTGTGCTCCATGAGCAACGAGAAGTACGAGGCCATCACGGGCGCGGGCATCACCGTGATGCAGCGCGTGGACCTCCCAGATGACTACATCAAGGAGAGCATGAAGGTGGAGCTGGACGCCAAGATCGCCAGCGGGTACCACTGGGGAGACCGCGGCACGACGGGCGCGGCAGGGCTGGAGCAGCTGGTGGAGGTTCGCCGGCAGTGCGTCAAGCTGTATGAGCTTGGGAAGAGGGGCAGCCTGAACTTCTTCACCGTCGACGAGTCCAAGCTGCCCGTCGCCGTGGCGGCGACGGAGGAAGTCATCCGGCGCCGCTACCCAACACTGCAGGTGCCGCCGCACTCGCGCCTGCGCCACTTCCCCGACGGCAGGCTGCAGGGCCTCCTGGCGAGCTGGAAGTGCGACAGGGTCGAGAAGGCGCGCAGGCTGGTCGACCTGATCACGGTCTCGGCGCTCACGGATGCGGGCGCTGGCGCGTCCTGGCAGTACCTGGCCGCCGGAGGCGAGGCCTCCTCCTCCTCCTCCTCCTCCTCCTCCTCCTCCTCGTGCTCCTCCTCCTCCTGCTCCTCCTCCCCCTCCTCCTCCCCCTCCTCCTCCTCCTCCTCCTCCTCCTCCTCCTCCTCCACCTCGCCGGAGGCGAGGTGTACAAGGCCAGCGAGGGCCTCGCCATGGCCTCGCTGGACATGTTCCTGGACGGCGCCCTGTCCTCGGACCCAGCGATGAAGTGCCGGGCCAACTCGCAGGCGCTGAAGAGCCTCTCGGAGGAGGCCGTCGCGCGTGCCTTCCAGGTGTCGCGGGCCCCCCCCCCCAAACAAAAAATAAATAAATAAAAATAAAAATAAAATAAAAGATTAAATACAATAAAAAGAGGTGTCGCGGGCCAACCCACTGATCGGCGTTGCGGGCCGCACCAGGGTGCTGCAGGGCCTCGGCGAGGCGCTCGAGGCGCACCCCGACTTCTTCGGCGCGGAGGTGCCCCGGCCGGGCCACATCGTGGACTACCTGCTGGAGCGGTCCACGGGGAGCCAGGTGGCCCTGGAGCACCTCTGGCGTGTCTGCTCGGAGGGCCTGCGCGGGGTGTGGCCGGTGCAGCCCAACGGTGTGGCGCGGGGCGACGTGTGGACGCACTCGGGGCTGCAGGTCGCGGGCAGGCCCGGGGGTGACGTCGTGCCTTTCCACAAGCTGACGCAGTGGTTGGTCTACTCCCTGATCGACGCGCTGCAGGTGAGCCTGGGCCTGGAGGTCACCGGCGCCGAGCAGCTCACCTGCCTGCCAGAGTACCGCAACGGCGGGCTGCTGCTCGACGCGGGCGTCATCGCGCTCAAGGACCCCGCGTGGCAGTCGCAGCAGGTCAACGTCAGCACGGAGCTGGTGGTCGAGTGGCGGGCTCTCACGGTGGCGCTCGTGGACCGACTCGCCGAGGACTGGCGGCGTGCACGCGCGGCTTCGCGCGAGTGGGGGGCACCAAGAATTAAGAGGGCGTGATGTTGCACCTTCGGGGGGCCTCGCCTGTCCCCCAAGATTGGTGTCTCCTTCTTGGGCCCGACGCGGGCTCGATGCGGACTCGACGCGGATTTGGCGTGGATTCGACGCGGATTCGACACGGATTCGACAAGTGGCGTTTGCTAAACGGCCCTGTGGGCGTTTACTGAACAGCCCTGCCCCGTTCGATGCCTTCATGACGGCTTCTCAGCTGTCGAAGTCGAGGGAGGAAAAACCACTCGGACCCGATCATTGGCGTTGACCAAACGGCCCTGTGGGCGTTCTCTGAACCGCCCTGCCCCGTTCGATGCCTTCCTCGCGGGTGCGTTTGCCAGAAGCTACTTCGCGCGCGCCGGGGTGCTGCTCACGAGGGTGGCTCCCCCGCTCTCCAGGGAGGGCCCCCAAGAAGCCGCCCACGGCTTCTGAGGAGGCCGTGACCTTCGCGCAACCTCTTCCCCCCCCTCCTCCTCCTCCTCCTCCTCCTCCTCCTCCTCCTCCTCCTCCTCTGTGCTCCCTGGGCCTCCTCCCTGGGGTATGTCTCCTGCTATTCATGGGGCTGTCGCCTCCCTCGGTTTCGGTTCTACTCATTGTGTGAGTGGCGGATCAGGTTAGATTAATCAGTCAGACAAGACGTCTCTTTTTACGCTGGTCTCCTCCTCCTCCTCCTCCTCCTCCTCCTCCTCCTCCTCCTCCTCCTCCTCCTCCTCCTCCTCCTCCTCCTCCTCCTCCCCCCCCCCCTGCGTGCGCGGCCGCCGGAGAGGAGCTGCGGAGGAAGCTGGGCGTCTCTCCGGAGCAGCTGCCCCTGGCCAGCGTCCTGGAGGGCGGCACGTGGCAGGCGGGCCGCGCGCTGGCGCGGGCGAAGCGGGCGGACGGCTCCCCGCCGATCTCCATCCGGCTGGACGGCACCGTCTTCTGAGAGGGCTCGCGGGGGCACCGTCCTGCCTGGGCCTCCCAGATTCCCGACACGATCGCGTCGTGACAGAAATCAGGACGGGAGGTTTTTTGGCTCTGTTCAGCCCCCGGGGGCCCTCGCCGGGCCTCGGGACCGTCAAAAAACGACTCAGGACGAAGTACTGGTCCGGGGAAAAGCTCAGACGTCGCGTGTCTGGGGATGGGGTCCGATCAGCTGGGGTCGCATGATCGCGCCGCATCGCCGACGCATCGCCGATGCGGATCGACGTGGAGCCCGATCTGCTTCACGTCGGCGTCGCCGCTGCGTCGCCGACGTCGGCGATGCGGCGCGATCCTCCGACCCCATCTGCTCGAACCCCATCTGGGAGGCCTCTATCCCGGTCGTTTTGAAATCTGAGGGGGGCGAGTTTCAGGAGGGAAAGAAACACACAGACACAATTAATTGGCGATTCCCCAGAAAATACTGGAAAATATAGGAAGTGGGGGGGAAGACAAAAACCAAGAAAATATAAGAAAATATGGGGGATCTTTTTTACTTGTGTGTATTTATTTGTGTGTCCGGGGGCCCCTTCATTGAAATCTGAGGGGGGCGAGTTGAGGCCACGACAGCTGTCCTTCGGTGGGCCCCTCCGTCGCCACGGCGGGGTGCAGCTCGGAGGCGCGCCTTCTTCGAGCTGCCGCATGGTCTCGCTTCGCCTTGCTCCGAGCAGCAGAGAGGCCAGGCATGAGCACAGGTAGTCGAAGGCCCGCGCCAGATCTCGTTGATCTGCGCCAGGCGAGCCGCCCCTGGCTCACGGCGCGCGCCAGGGGTGGGGGGTCCGGCGCCGACCCCAGAAGATCGCGCGGACCTCTGGGAGTCTTCAGGAAGGGAAGAACACGCAGACACAAAGATTCGTCGATTCCCAGGGAGGTTCGTACAAGAACATCTGGGAAGCGGGGGGGGACCTCCTCCTCCTCCTCCTCCTCCTCCTCCTCCTCCTCCTCCTCCTCCTCCTCCTCTCATCATCATCATCATCATCATCATCATCATCATCATCATCATCATCATCATCATCATCTCATCATCATCATCATCATCATCATCATCATCACATCACCATCACATCATCATCATCATCATCATCATCATCATCATCATCATCATCATCATCATCATCATCATCATCATCATCATCATCATCATCATCATCATCATCATCATCACCCCCCTCTTCTCTTACGCTCGTCTCCTCACCCCCCTCTTTCTCTTCCTCCTCCTCCTCCTCCTCCTCCTCCTCCTCCTCCTCCTCCTCCCCCTCCATCCTCCATGGTGAAAAGAGCACGCCGGGAGGCTTCTTCCTATGACTTCGGCCTCCAGGGGCTCGTATGCCGGGCCTCCCCGGACCGGCAGGGACGACTCGGGAGGAGGAGCCGGTCCCGGGCAAGGGGTCCAGACCTTTGGGGGTCGACGTTGTGAAAAAGTCACGACGCCAGGGATCTGAGTCTATGGTGCGGGCAATGTTTATATCCACGTCCAGTGTGTCTTGGACTTCCTCGGAAGGGGCGCACTGGATATGGATAAACAATCGAGCCTCTAGGGGGCCAGAATTTTATCCATAGCCAGTACGCCTCGGGTTTCTGGGGGAGAGAGCCCGAGACTCCAAGCTGCCGTGGAGTTGACACAAGTCTTGCCCGCATATTGGGGCTGCGTCTCTCGGGAGCAAGGGGTCTGGGTCCATCCCAGACCCCCGGCGTCGTGATTTTTTCCCCACGTGGACCCCCAGAGGTCTGGACCCCATCCCAGGGACCAGCTGTTCATCCTGAGCGGTTTCTGGACGGCCCCGAGCCCCGGGAAGGGCCCCCAGAGGTCGAACATAGCCAAGCACCCTCCGTCTTCATTTATCCATCACCACGCGAGGAGGTCTGCGGGGGTCGGCCACGCGCAGGGGGGGGGAGGGGGAGGGGGAACGGCTTCTCAGAAGCACCCCTGTAGAAGGCGCGGGCGTCGCGGGCCTTCTCTGTAGATGTGAGGCCCGCGCCTTCTAAGAGGCAGCCTCTTTCCAAGAAGCCTTCCCCCCTCCCCCTACCCCCTTTGTGCGCGCCGCCAACAGTCTGCACCCGCAGTGACGCGCAGAAATCGAGCAGGGAATCGTCTGCAGAATAGATTTGCCCCAGAATCGATTTTCTCTCGTCGCATCGACGAAAAGAAGCGCAGCATGCTTGTGGGTCCACGGGGCCATCTCAGTATGTTTCGTAGGTTCGATTGAATCAAGGTCTAGTTTCTTTTTCCCGTACACTCGACTGGAGCATCAACCATGGGGCACATCAATTCTGTAGTCGATCCCCTGCTCGAGGAAGGAAAGGGGCGGGCCCGAGCGCAAGAGCGAGCCACAGCCACGGCGCGGTGTTTTTTTTTTTTGTCCGCGGGCCCCCCTCAGGGGAGGGCCCGCCGACCTCGACAGCGGCACCGTGGTCGTGGCTCGGGTCGTCCTGGCCGTCTCGGACGCCTACATCTAAGTCGGGCGTGTCCCTCTACAGGGGGAATCTCCAAAAATAGCCAAACAAATAGCACAGAGACTATTATTCGAGTATGTTTTGATCATTTTGGACAAGTTTTTGATTTTTTTATTTTTCGTCGAGAATCCCCCTGTAGGGGGACACGCGCTACTTAAGCCTACATCGATCACAACCACCACCAACCTGGTTCTCGTGTTCTGACGGCTGTTGGCACGGTCAAACTTCGAAGCGGAAAAGATTTGCACAAACAGAATTTTCGGCGCTCCGCGCGGAGTGTCAGAAGCTTTTGTTGATGCAGGTGTTTTTTTTTGTTTCTCTCTCTCTCTCTCTATATATATATAGATATGCTTGGTGTTCTGACGATTGGTGGCACGCCCAACATCTCCCCCCAGGGTGCGTGCTCGATATGGTTGTGGTCGCTTGCCGTCCCCGCAGTGTGGGGAGGAGGGGGGGGGGCTTTTAAAAAGCTTCATGCTTCTTAGAAGGCGTGGGCCTTGTCTGCAGGCTGTAGGGCCGACGCCTTCTAAGGATCAGCCTCCTTCTATTCCTCCACCCGAGTCACAACAAGACAGCGGCATGAGCATAATTGTCCGAGGCTCCGTGCGGTTTTCTTGGATCCGTGCTGGGACCCCCCTGGTGGTGCCTCCAATCCAAGAAATCCCCGCGGACCTTAGAAACTGTATGTTTTTACATTTGTTGTTCCTCCACCCCCTCGCCTGGCGACGATAGCAACCAGAAGCTCATAGGAGCAAGAAGCCTTGTTGATGATGCGTGCCAGAACTTGGAGTATCCCCCATGTCTCCTCATGTTCCGCACGGGCTGCGAAAACCAGGGCCGACACACATTTATTTTTTAATTATATATAGATATGTGTGTATAGTGTTTACTTACATGCACGTATATATATATATATATAGAGAGATATGTGTTCTGGAGACCCTTGGACGCATCCTGAGCCAACTCTATCATGCGTCATTCTCATCCTGGACACGCAACAAAAAAAGTCGCCGTCGCCGTGCTGCCACCTCCCTGCGGCGCGCCGCCGTGTCGAGCCGCGGCACTCCCCGTTTTTGGCCTGCATTTTTGAAGCCCCCGGCGCTCCGGCTGCCGCGCGCCTCGGAGGTTGTCCGCGCGCGCCGCAGCCGGCTTCGGGACGAGCGCCTCGGAGCCAGGACGGAGCCGGAGCCTCCCCCCCTTTGTGCACTGCAGCTCCGCCACAAGATCGGGTGGCTGGTCGTTCCGTTCAGGACCTCTTTTTTCCTTGGGCCCCTCGGACGAGGATCCCAGGAGACTTCTCGGGCGAGAATGTCTAATATATGCGGCGGCTTCGCTCGCTCATGCCTCATCTGCTTGGGGCTCTTGCTGAGCGCCGGACGGCGCGCGAGCGCTGTGGCGCACAGCTGGCCAGCGCCGAGGGCAGCGCCGCGTACCTGCGCGCGCAGGCGGTGTCGTGCCTCCGCTTCCGCGCTGGACGCGGGAGCTCTTGAGGTTCGACCTTTCTTCATTGCGCTCCTCTCGGGGGCTGCAGCGACCCAGAGCCCCCCCCCCCCCCCCGCGTCTCGAGCATGAACCACGACGCTGCCCTCCCCCCTTCCATATTCGGCTCTTGGGGCACCCTGGCCGGGCACCATGGGGGATCGGAGCGGGTCCCTTTGGAAGGGGTCGAGGATTTTTGGGCAGAGAGGCACACGTTCCGGAAGAAGTTACGGCGCCATGAAGGGTCTGGGGACGGGCGGATACCCCCCAAGGCTGGCAGCAATTGGACAGGTTGGCGCCGTGTCCCGGGGAAGCGCCAAACACAGATGACGGCGCGCGGATTCGCGACGGGTGCCGCTTCCATCCGAGACTGGCGCGCGCAGGCGCCGCAAGTCGGGCGGCACGTGTGGCATGGCCTCGCGCTCTTCGGGGTGCCCTGCCCCGCCCGGTGGCTATGGCGCCCCCGTGCCAGGAGGAGGAGGAGGAGGAGGAGGAGGAGGAGGAGGAGGAGGAGGAGGAGGAGGAGGAGGAGGAGGAGGAGGAGCAGCAGCAGCAGCAGCAGCAGCAGCAGCAGCAGCAGCAGCAGCAGCAGCAGCGCCCGTCAGCCACCTCGGCGTGCGCCCGCGTCCTCTCGCCAGCCGGCGGGCTGCCCCCCCGCGCGGGCGCTCTCGAGGTTGGAGAACGCCGTAGCCGCGGCCCGGGGCGGGCCGGCGTGGAGCGGCACGCGCGCCCGCGGCCGGTTTTGAGGAAGAATCGGGGAAGCATAAGATTTAGGGATCAAGTCGGGCCTGTCCCGCTACAGGGGGAATATCCCCAAGATAGTCAAGGCATAATCGGGGGACCATTCCTCGACTGCTGTGGACTATTTTTTGGACCATCTTTTGGCCATCCTTGATTTATTTTTCTCCAGGGTCCGCCTGGAGGAGGACATGCCTGACCTAAGCATACGACTCGAGTGCGCCAGAGCTCGGGCTTGCCGACGCTTTTCGACGAGCGCGTCCCGGGCTTTGACGACCCAGGATTTTCGTGGAAGGTCTGCTGCGGGAGATCGCGTCAGAGTTCAGACTGGCGCCCGTCATCTTCATGATGGCCCCCTGATAGGGGAACGAATACAGTCGGGGCCCTGAAGAAGGAACCCTTTTCGTTGGGGAGGGGCTCCGCGTTCCTTAAGTGTTTCACAGCTTGCCTCAGGCTTTCCTCATGTTTTCGACAGGACATCGAAGGTTCACTTATGGAAAAACGGGGCCTCGTTCCTTATTTAGGGTCCCTTGGGTCAATGCCCCGACTGTAATGGCAAGAACATAAAAAACACTCGGAGGTCCGCGCGGATGTCTCGGCTCCGCGCTGGACCCCCCCTCATGTTTTCGGCAGGAAATCGAAGGTGAACTTATGGAAAAAAGGGGCCTCGTTCCTCATTTAGGGTTCCTTGGGTCAACGCCCCGACTGTAATGGCATGAACATAAAAAAGCACTCGGAGGCCCGCGCGGATGTCTCGGCTCCGCGCCGGACCCCCCCCTTCCTGGGGCGCGGAGCTCCGCGCGGACCCTCCGAGCTGTTCTGTTTATGCCATGTTTCGGTCCCCCTTCGTCAGGCCCGCCCGAGCCCCCCCCCCGACCCGAGCCTCACGTCGCCTCGGAAGAACTGTCCGCGGGGGGTGCAGCGGCCCAAATGGGAAGCGGAAGATCTTGTATACACATGTATATATATATATACACATATATACATATATATATACACATATATATATATATACATAATGTATATATATATATATTATATACACAAATCCCCGTTGCGTCGTCGTCGTTGTCTCGGTCGAGGCCGACAGGCCGCGACCCAGACGAGAAAGAAGCATTCGCGAGTCGCCCCTTTAGTGTGTGTGTGTTGTCGTCTTTTCCACCACCAGCCGAACACATGTATGAAAGAGCGTGTTCTACCGCTGCTGGCGGAAAACGGGGGGGGGTCACTACCGGTTCGAACCCCTCCCCCTCCCCCCACCCTCCGGAAAACCGGGGGG